GTCTGAGGGGTGTTTCAGGCTCTGGGTGTTGGCTGTTGGTGGTTGTAGGAGTATTTTAGGCTCTTAGTGGTGGCCATCAGTGGTTGTAGAGGTGTTTTAGGCTCCAGATGCTGGCTGTCAGTGGCTGTAGGAGTATTTTAGGCTCCAGATTTTTTTAAAGGATTTCTGATTAGGAAAATCCACATCTCATGTTTGCATGATCCACAGCTCCAGTGTCGAGGTGTGAGGTAATGGCAGGGCTGCATTTAGAGGGGGCAGGAGTAGCTGCAGCATTGCTGCAGCACCTGCATTGCTGCAGCACCTGCATTGCTGCAGCACCTGCATTGCTGCAGCACCTGCATTGCTGCTCCTGCCCAGGCGTTGTTCCATGGGCCAGGAGCAAGCGCTGGGCTGTGCTGGGGGAAGGTGTGAGTGAGGGAGGGAGTGACCCCCAGCTCATCCCTGAGCTCATCCCTGCGGCTCCAGGGGAGCAGGAGCTGCCTCCTGGGCTGTGTGCTCCTCTACCACACCCTGAAACATCACAGAGCTCTTAATCATCCCTATAAAACCATTTCCTCTGCAAAACATAGCTTGTATTTGGTGAAATGTCTCACCAAAGGAAATAAGTGGTTCTTTAAAGAATTATCTTAAATATCAAGTTCATAATTGAGCATAGTGCAAGTGTCAAAGTAGTCATGAGTTGTAACTGCTCTCATAAAATGTATCTTTCTGGATTGCTTACAGATGCATCTTGGAATTTTTCAATAATAGCTCGTAAAGGCCTTCTTTAAGCTTCCAAACAGCAATTGTTCTGCAGGAATGAAGCAGCGGTAGCTTCTGCTAAAAAAAGTTATACAGTCTGGTTCTGTTCAGGATATTTGACCATCTACAGCAGGAGTTTAGAAAACTAAATACAAGACACCAAGGTCTGTAAGTTCTGTGCTATCTTAATGTATAATTTTTCTATGCACATCACTTCTGAAACTGCCTGGTAAGGATATCTTGGCTCTGGAAATACAATCAAGTGAGAATAATTAGTGCGAGCGAGAGGTTAAAGCATCTCAGCGCTGCAGGGCAGGGATTTGTCTCCACGTTAGTCACCAGTCCCGATTCTGGGAGTTTTATAACCCAGCCTGTTCCCACACGTGTCCCTGGGCCACAGGCCCTTCACCTCCCAGCAATGATTCCTCTCTCTGATTTCCCACCCTTTGGCAGTGACTAATACTGGAAAGTGAAAGAAGCTTTTTATTTCACGAGAAATTCTCTGGGTTTTGGGCTGTTTTCTCCAGAGCGTGTGAACAACAGGAAAAACAGCGTGTGGGCATAAAAACACACTCATTTCATGGTGGTTTACTGTCTGGCCTGGTGCTGGGCCATGTGTGTGTGAGTGTGCAGAGCTCCTGTCCTGTCCTGGGCAGAGCTGTCACCCTGAGAGGTGTCACCCTGAGAGGTGTCACCCTGTCAGGTGTCACCCTGAGAGGTGTCACCCTGAGAGGTGTCACCGTGTGAGGTGTCACCGTGTGAGGTGTCACCCTGAGAGGTGTCACCCTGAGAGGTGTCACCCTGCCAGGTGTCACCCTGTCAGGTGTCACCCTGAGAGGTGTCACCCTGTGAGGTGTCACCCTGAGAGGTGTCACCCTGCCAGGTGTCACCCTGAGAGGTGTCACCCTGAGAGGTATCACCCTGCGAGGTGTCACCGTGTGAGGTGTCACCCTGAGAGGTGTCACCCTGAGAGGTGTCACCCTGTCAGGTGTCACCCTGAGAGGTGTCACCCTGCCAGGTGTCACCCTGCCAGGTGTCACCCTGAGAGGTGTCACCCTTGGTGCCCCTGGCCCAGAGCTGGCTCTGTGAGCCCACGGCCAGCCTGGCCACGGGGATGGTGCAGATACCTGTGAGAGACACTGAGGGCAGGGGAAATCCAGCCCAGCCCTTGGCAGTTGTTTGGAGGAGGCTTCCAAGAGCTTTTCCAAGGGGTTCCCAGCCCGTCCCTCCCGAGGTGCTGCAGCCCTGGGCTCGGTGCTGTGTGTGGTGGGGGGAATTGCAAGAACCTCTGCAAAATTCTGCCCCCTTTCCCAAGGGGGGCTGGTCCATGAACTGACTGACGTGTCTGTGGGGCTTAATCTTCAAATGCACCCTTCTGCTTTGAGCCCTGCCTGTTATCAGAGCTGTTTTGGAAAGGGTGGAATATCAACATCCCTGGGGCCAGGCTGGGCAGGAGCGACCTTTGCCAAGGCAGGAGCCCAAGGGGTTTGCCAGCAGAGCAGGGGTGACCCTTGGGGCACTGGAGGAGCCTCACTCTCAGACCTCTTACACAGCAGCTCTTTCCTCATACTTGGAAACTTTCTCTTACCCAGAAAAATCTCCCTCTAAAAGATTTGAGGCAGTATAGGAAAAGCATTTCTTGGAAAAGGAAGGGATGTTACAGACTTGGGGCTTGGCTGAAACCCTGCTGGTGTAGAGCTGTGCTAGTGGATTAACAGAGACAAAGGATAAAAGGTTTCTCCTCCATCAGATGGGTGTAGGGTGGCAGTGGCTCTGTGCTTTATGGTTGCTGTTGACCTCGGTGTGGAACCTCCCTCTCGTTGTGTGCACACTTTGCAATTAATGGCAACAGCATTTTGTGTTTCCTTGTCTGCCCTTTTCCCTTGTTTTAAGAGCAGTCTCTGGTGATTAATAACTTCTGTTGTTTCATGGATCCAAACTGGAGGAGCAAATGTGCAGGCAGAGGATGCCCCTGGAGCTGCTGTGCACTGGGAGTTGGAATGGTTGAGGTTGGAAGGACCTTCAAGCTCCTCTCACTCCACTTCCCCCTATCCCAGCTTGCTCCAAGCCTGATCCTTTGCTGTGTTTAGTGTTACCTGTGTGTGGGGCACGAAATCTGTGTGATCCCAAGGATCACAAGCAGGCTGAGCCCCCTGTCCCTTCGGTGAGCCCTCAGCAGAGGCGCTGAAGTCGGGGGAAAACTTCCGAACTTCCGTAGGGAAGGCTGGCTCCGTGGTGGGGCTGCAGGGCTGCTGCTGTCGGGGAGCCTGCAGGCGTTTTCCTTCCCTCTTTCCACTTATTTTATTTTCTTGATATAAACACTGTTCCTAGAGGAAAACTCACTTGCTGACAGCAGCTGGTTTTGCTGCTGAATCATCCCCCGCTCGCCAGATGTGGCTGATGGATTTTCTCCCGCAAACAATCATCTCTGCTCACTCTTGTGTTACGTAGCCAGGTGTCCTGGGAGGGGGAAGACGCTCCTTGGAGGGATCTGTCCCTGCCCAAACCCCAGTTTTGAGCTGCTGCATGAGATTTGTGCTTCCTGAGCCTGTCCTGGGTGGTGGAGCTGATCCAAGGACTCCTGATGTGCTCTGGCCGGTGCCCGCACGGGCGAGCGCAGGAGTGGCTCATGTTTGGGTGACCTCCAGGGGAGGAATCTGTGTATGTGCCCTGCTGGGGACATGCCCTGGGGACATGCCCTGTGACACACAGCCCTGCAGGGTGTTTCTGATGCTGGGGATCATTGGGTGAGCAGCACAGAGAGCTCTGCCCCGCCGGCAGCGTCCGAGCCCGGCTGCCGCTGGCTCTGCTCCTCTGAGAACATCACAGGCAGCTCCTGGAGCTCCTGGGGGAGATGCCGACTGCAGGGACCCCACAGGAAGCTCAGAGCATCCCTGTTGGTGTCAGGATCCCCTGGAGCAGAGCCCTGCCCGCAGCCTCTCCCGCTCCGTTGCTGCCTGAGCGTTGCTATCAACACGGCCTTTGGAAGCTTGCCTTGCCCGCTGGCTATTTCGGGAGCAGCATGTGATGGGGGCAGCTCCCTCGGCAAGGGGGCTCCCAGCCCTGCTCCCAACAGCTTCAGCAGCCCTGCTCCCATCTCTGATCCCATCCCTGCTCCCATCCCTGCTCCCATCCCTGCTCCCATCCCTGCTCCCATCCCTGCTCCCATCCCTGCTCCCATCCCTGCTCCCATCCCTGTTCCCATCCCTGTTCCCATCCCTGTTCCCATCCCTGCTCCCATCCCTGCTCCCATCCCTGCTCCCATCCCTGTTCCCATCCCTGTTCCCATCCCTGTTCCCATCCCTGCTCCCAGCAGCTTCAGCAGCCTCTTGTCCTGCTCAGTGCCCACTCGGCCACATCCAGGGTGCTGCTGGAGCTCTGGGATGTGTGTGCGTGTTCCTGGTGGGACACTGAGCACTGAAGGATTATTTTAAACCATTTTACTCTGTTGAGCAGGAGAAATACAACCTGTCTGAGGGCTGATCTGCTTACAGCTGCTGTTGGTATTATCCTGGGCTTTTAAAGTGCCCTCTCATCGTGATTAAAACCTTCTGCCAGTGTTTTCCCTTTTATTGCATCCACTGAAACGTCACTTTAATCTCCAGCAGCCAAGCTGTGGTGGTGATGGGGGTGGCAGGAGGAGCATCGATATTTGAAGGCTGGAGAGGCTTGGGATGGAGTCCTGGTGGTGGCTGGATGCATTCAGTGCCTCGTCCTGCTGCACTTCTTGGCCTCTCCAAATTAATGGCATTTCTTTCCCTCTCCTGCTCCTTGCCTGGCTCGTTTGCTCAGGCTGTACCTGAGGAGGGTGGTACCTGCTCCCTGCCTGAGTTACACCTACCAGAGGTTCCTGTAAGGCCCAAGGTGGAATTGCCTGCTTTGCTCTAAGTTTATATCCTCTCTATGTGTCTTTCAGGAGAGGAGCCATAGAACCATGGAAGAGTTTGGGTTGGAAAGGACCTTTGAAGGTCATCTAGTCCAACCTCACCTTCATTTTGTTTAGAAACCTCTAATTTCTGTTTTTACCTGGTCTATCCCATTTGCATTCTTTCATTTTAAGAGCTGTCCTAGTCAGTTATTTTAGAGTGACTCCAGATTTGGGCCAGCCCAGATTTTGTGTGCAGAAGGTCATGCTGGTGTTTGGGGACCTGGCTGCTGGGGGAGGTGCTGGCAGCAGACACACCGTGGTGACACCAGCTGTGCCAGCAGCCCCAGCTGGAGCCAGGCTCTTCATAAGACTTTCTGCTTGTGTTTTCCAGGTGTACAACTCGAACAAGGACAGCCAGAGCGAAGGCAGTGAGTATTTCTTCTCCAGCCTGACCCCGGAGAGGTGGCTGAGCTGTGGGAGGGGTCAGCAGGAGATGCTGGTGGCACTGGGCTGTGCTGGGCTCCCCGGGGCTGGGGGGTGACCGGGCTCAGTGTGGGGACCCAGGGTGGCCCCAGGGAGAGCTGAGTGTGGCACCCAGCAGGGACCAGGGGCAGAAACCTGCTGGTGGGACCTGGGGCCACGGAGAGCAGTGCCAGGCAGCTCCCTGCGCCCCTCAGGGTGTGTCCCCTCCTGCCCCACACCGTGTGCAGGGGTCTGGTGGCCTTGGGACCTGCTCCTGAAGTTCAGCAGAGGCATCAGGTGACACCTGGGACCAGCCAGCTCTTCTCTCTGAGCCAGAATGTGCAGGGTGACCGTGTCTTTCCAAAGGGAAACTGGAGCAGACGTGTAGGAGTAAGGAGGTCTTGCCTTGTCAAGATTGTCAGCAAGAACCCTTAAAAATAAAAAAAGCTCTTTTTGTTGTAGTGCAGGCAATCAACCTTGGGTCAAAGCACTTGTTTTTCTTCCTAGAGGAGCAGTTGCACCTGGTCCTGCCTCTTACCTCCTGTGTTTTAAAACCCTTAATTGAGCCATTTCCCAGTAGGCTGGATTTGCCATAATTGCAATGCTCCAGCCCCAGTCCCTTCCCTCCTTCCCTCAAAGCCACTGGGCAGGCAGGGCTGGGCTTGGGCTGACGTTCAGCACTTGGTTCATTTGGTGCTGCCCCAGACACGACGTTTTCATCTGGAGCCGAAGCATTTTTCTCTCAATAATTGCTATAATTTGCAGCTAATGTTCCTCACACCCATTTCAGCCCTTGCACAAAGCAGTCTCTTCCCCCTCTCTGCTCTCTCCTCTGTGGTTTCTCCTTCCCTTTGATCCTCTCTGGCATCAGCTGCACATCCATCTTTTCCTGCAGGTATCTCTGTGCCTCCCAGGTGATCCCAGCAGGGCTCAGTGCTGTGCCTCACACTGGGAAGGGCAGCATGGCCAGTGGCCCTGGGCTAGGAGCGGTGCTAGAGCAGCTCCTCTGGTCTCTCTTCCCCAGGAGTTTGTGAGCTGTGGGGCCCAGGAGTGGCTCAGCTCTGTGTGCCTGGCCATGGGCTGTCACTGGCCCTGCCAGCTCTGTACCTGCTGCTCTGGCCCAAGAAACCATGCTGGTGGTCTCTCTTAAAAATGAGAAAGCTGCTCCTTGTCTGCTCCTTGTCTGCTCCTTGTCTGCTGCTTGTCTGCTGCTTGTCTGTCCTTCGCTTCCCTGGGAGCAGGTTGGGAGCCCTGGCTGAAGGTGCTTCTGAACCCTCTGCTTGGGCTGGGGCTGCCACTGGTGTTGTCTGACTGCTTCAGCCTCATGAAATCCCTGGTTTAGAGTGCCTGCCTCCCCAGCCACTGTGAAATTGGTTCAGCAGCTGGCTCCCTGCCAGCAGCCCTTGATACAGGATCTTCCTATGAGGGTTTGGAACGAGTGTGGTGATGGAGAGGGTCCGGATGCAGCTCCTGACCCTGGGAGCCTCTGTAGCTCTGCATCCTGCCTGCCCTCGTGGGGGGCTCAGAGGACCTCACAGTGCTGTGGTGGCACTTTCAGGACACTGTAATTCTGCAGAGCTGCTGGGTTCTCTGTCCTGCTGTGTGGCCAGATGGCCGTGGGCCTGTGTGATTTATCTTGCTCTGCTGAGGAGGGGGAGGAAGCGGAGCAGAGGGGCTGAGTGGTGTCACTGAACCATGAGAGCCAGGGGAATTCAGATGCTCTAGTTTGTTAACCAGAAGGACTTGCCCTGCTCTGTGGAAGCAAACCCTCCAGGCTATTTGTGCTTATTTCATGGACCAGCACAAAATTCCTCCTTTCTCTTCCTTCCCACCATTTCCCTCTCCATCTGCCACATCCAGTCGGTTCCCCATTAGTTCAGGACCCCATCAAAGTATTTATTTTCACAAGTTCTTCACAGACCTTGAGTCCCTTTGGCTGCCCTGTCTGCTTGGGTGCCCTGGCCTTTCCCAGCAGTCACAGGCATGGAATCACAGAATATTCTGGAAGGACTTTGAAGCTCCTCTCTCCCTGCCATAGGCAGGGACACCTTCCCCTCTCCCAGTTTGCTCCAAGCCCTTTCCAGCCTGGATTTGGACGCTTCCAGGGATCCAGGGGCAGCCACAGCTTCTCTGAGCAGCTGTGCCAGGGCCTGCCCACCCTCAGAAAAAACTTCATTTCTCCAACCTACCCTGACCCTCAATCTTCCTCTCCCAATCTCGGCAGCTCACTGGTAATTAGGGCACTGAGAACTCATTTCTGGTAAGGCTTGAAAGCTCATTCCTCTGGTTTCTGCTTCATGATTTGCTCCCTCCTCTGTGGTTCTTATTTCCAAAATGTCTTTGAAGGAATTCAAGGCAGAGGTGGTTCCATGGCACGGGAGTGTGTGGTGGGGAGGCAGAGGAGCTGCTCTGACCTTGCTGTGCCCTGACACAGCTGGAGCCAGGCAGGCTGACAGAGCTGATTCAGCCCTCCTGCCCCCTCCCCAGTGCTCTGATGTGTCACATCAGCAAAAAGGAAAGGAATTGATGGATTAAACAGAAATAATCTGCCAGGCAAAAATAGAAGGGGATGAGAGCAATTTAGGAGCACTTGGAATGTGATGCTGCTGGAAGGTCAGATGAGTGTGGGGTGTGTGGGCAGCAGCTGCTGCACAGGTGATGTGCAGTGATCCTGGGATGGATTCCAGCCTGGGCAGTGCATCTCCCTGGGCACTGGATGCTGCTGCTGCAGGAGGAGCTGTGACACGGGGCTGGCCTGGAGCTGAGCCTCACACCCTGCCCTGAGGAAGGACAGCCTCAAGGGAGGCTCTTCCACTCACGGAGAGTTCAGATTGGAGGGGAAGTGTTTTCTCTGAAAGGCTCTGCAGCCCATCTGCCCAGGGCAGGGGGGGTCCCCATCCCTGGAGGGGTTTTACAGCCCTGTGGATCTGGCTCTTGGGGACAGGCCTTGGCAGTGCTGGGGGAATTGCTAGGCTTGATGTCCTGGGGGGGCTTTTCAAACCCAGATAATTCCATGGAGCTGGGATCTGGACAAGAGTAGATCCAGATCTGCCTTTGATCTGGGCCACTGCTGAGCTGAATCATTTGGTAAATGACTGAGCTAAAGAGCAGATGTTCTGACAGGGGGGAAATCAAGCTTTTACAATGCTCATTAAAAGTTAAATTTAAGGATGAATAAAAGCACTTTGGATATTTAATCAGATATTATTTCTGGATATAGCTACTGCAAATAAATCCCCAACCTTTCCTGATCCAGAGCTTGACAGGGAGTGGAAGAGCTCCCTCATCTGCTTAGGGGGATTGTGCCAGGTCACTTCCATCCAGAGGCACTGCTGGGCTTTCTCCTCCTGCTGCTGCTGCGGGGAGGTGGGATCCCTGCAGGGTTATGGAACCATGGAATGGCTTGGGCTGGAAAGGACCTGGGAGATGATCCTGCTGTGGGCAGGGACATCTTCCACTATCCCAGGTTGCTCCAAGCCCTGTCCAAACACACAAGGGGCTGAAGGAAAACTGCCGGTGTGTGGGATGGGTTGGCACCTGCAGTGGATGGCAGAGAGCCTGGAGCAGCGATCCAAGCTGTCAGCACCACACAGGGCTGCCCACAGGTCAGGGTCACACCAGTGCCAAGCCCAGACCTGCTGGGCTGGGTTTGCTGCAGCAAGAGAGTTTCCACAGCAGGGTTTGGAGCTTCTCCTGTGTTTCTCAGTGACCTGGGAATGGCAGCTGTGCCCTGCTGGGGGATGGAACGCTGGGTTTGTGCTGCATCCCTGCTGGGAGCCCTGAGGGTGCCCAGCAAAGGGCCCTGCAGCTCCTGGATTATCCTCACGCCCGTCCTGTGGCACGGGCATCCTGCAGCTCGTGTGCTTGTGTTGGCTCGGCACTGCGGCCTGCCTGCCCAGGAAAACACAACAGGGCTGTTTTCCTCTGCACTGCTTTGGGTGCTTGTGGCCACACAGAGCCCACCCCAGCACAGGACTCAAAGCAGGGGATTAGGAAGGGGCTGCTCGGTGCGAGTGTGAGCTGGCAGCTGCCGTGGGAGGGGGAGCAGGGGGTGCCCTGCCAGCAGAGGGGCTGCACGTGCCTTGCTGAGGGCACTGCCAGCCCCAGGCTCTGCTCCCTGCCCTGCTCTGCACAGAACACAGCTCTCACATCACGGCATTCCCTGCGGCTGCAGCCCGGGGGGCTTTGCCCACCCTTCTCTGAGGGGCTCCTGCCCTCTGGAAGGTTTTCCAACCCTCCCTGATATTCCATAACAAACAGCTGGCTGTGGGCAGAGTTTTCCAGGCACTGGTGGAAAGCTCTCAGTGGGATGAATTCTTCCAGCAGGTGTTTGGGTCCCTGTATTAGTAATTCCTTGAATTTAGAAGTGAAAACCTGCGTTGGCACAAGTGAATTGAGTTGTACATCCATTAATTCTCATTGTTGTAGCTCTCGGGCAGAGGCAGGATACCTTGTGTGCCATTTTCAAGGACTTGCTGTGTCAAAATGTATGATTTAATTTCTTTCCAAGCAACCCGTTCTCAACTTTCCAGACAAATTTGGGTTATCTCACCTTGCTCCTAAATGAATTTTGTCCATCTGCAGTGGTAGGTGCCTGGCAGAGGGCAGGGCCTGGCTCAGGAGGACGTGGAGGCTGGAATGAGGATCAGTGCCTGTGTTTGCCAGGTTCCAGCTGCTACAAACTGCTGCACTTGTGTCTTTCTGCCCTCATTCATCTGCTCCTGGTCTGGGCAGTGGTGCATTGCTGGCATGGCAGGGATTGAGGAGCAGCCTGGTGCTCGCTGTGGGGCCCTGCCCTGCCCTGCCAGCTGCTCACTGCTCTCTGCCCTTCCCCTGCAGCGGCACAGCTGGACACCATCGGCTTCAGCATCATCAAGAAGTGCATCCACGCTGTGGAAACAAGAGGTAGGGCAGCTCTCGGGCTGGGCTTGCTCTGGGGCAGCTGTTGGCAGTGGAGCCGTTGCTTTCCTGCCCTTTTCACGGACAGAATGATTCATGAGGCACATCAGATGGAGCCGTAACGTGCTCGGGCCGATGCCGAGGAGCGTTTGCCGCACGGCTGGGCCAGCAGGGACTCACAAGCGTGGGGCAGAGTTAGGAAATGATGCCCTGGGTGTGCAAAAGTGGGGACAGGACCGAGGGGGATGTTCCCTTCAGCATCCTTCCTGCAGGAATGCTGCAGAGCACGTCCTCTCGCCTGGGATTCCGTCCCCAAAACCTCTTGTGAATCCCCTTGTATACAGGTGGGATTGTCCCAGCCCCACAGAGGGAAGTCAGATGCAAAAGGCTCAGACCTCAACCTGAAGAACTTGACACAGTAACAGTTTGTTAATTTGTAAATTAAATTGTCTTGTTTAAGTGCAGATCCTGCATGGGGCTGCCATGGCTGTGGGAAGGAGGAAAAGTGTCCTTAGATCCTTATTCCTCAGCTAAGGGGGTAACACTTCTAAGGAAATAGAATAGGATACGTGAAAACCTTGATATCAACCCCCAATTTGACCATCTTCTGTAGCTTTGTATTTGATTGGTGAGAAGGTTTCATTGGCTTTGCTATTTGAGAAGCCAAAGAAGTGAAAGAAATCTTGGGAGCTCTTGTGACCCTCTGCTGACGAGTGCCTTGTTTTCCCTAGGGATCAATGAGCAGGGGCTCTACCGGATCGTGGGGGTGAACTCCAGAGTTCAAAAGCTGCTGAGTATATTAATGGGTAAGTGCCTGGAGTTTTGTTAAAGGCAAGGAGATTGTGCTGCTTTGAAGTCTTGCCAGAAGGAGCAGAGGCTCTTGTTGGGGTCCCTAATGGTGGTGACTGTGCCCCTAGGACCACGTGCTGGTCGAGGCCGGGAGGTCCTGGGCACCGTGGGCAGGACTGAAGGTAGGACTCGTGTAGGGCCTGGCTTCAGCAGGTCCTGCTGCAGTCACTGCTGTCCTGCTCACACATGCTCTGAGTTCTGGCAGCCTTCCCAAATGCAAACCAAATTCTTCAAAGAAATAGCTGAAAGCTCTGGCTTTTCATCTCCTACATGCCCCCTTGTTCCCAGCACCCTTTGAAATGATTTTCTCCTGGATGTTGCATGCTGCCTGTGGCTGTTCTTGCTTTCCCCACGGATTTTCTTGTGCCCGTTTATCTCAGTCTTGCCCAGAGTTTTCCAGCATGCGTTTCCCTCGTGACTGAGGCATTGGATCCTGCAGTTCTGGATGCTCCACAGGGACAAGCTGCTGGCTCTTGGCACGGCAGAGGTTTGCTCTGGCTGTGTGGACAGAGCTATTTCAGCCCTTACCTCACAGGCAGCATTTCCATCCCACGTCTGCAGCCCTGGACCAGTCTGTCCGTCTGTCCAGACATGCCTGAGACACAACAGTGGAAGAGAGAGCAGAGCTGGGCTGGAGCTGGGCAGCTGCCCTTGGCCAGTCCTGTCTGATGCTGCTCAGACTTGGCAAAACCACAGATGAAATAGCTGTTAGGAACAGGGAAACAAATGCTTACTAATTTGTTAGTGCCCTATTGAATGTGTTTGTTACTCCTTGGGGAAAGTGTGTGGCATTTCTGGTCACCTTTTCTTTCCCTCCACCTACTATCTTTCCTTTGCTACATGACTCTTCCTTGTCCTCACAAAACTCCAGTGCTCCTTTCTCTGAATTTTTCTTCTTGTAGAAGGTTTTCATCTGTTGTGTTTCAACATCTTTTCCTTTTCCAATTCCTCCTTCTTTTCCCACCAGTAAGGTGTTTGGCGAGCAAAGCCCACGGTGCCTGTTTCAGCTGTCAGTGTTAACCTGTGGGAAACAGATAATGCAGGTGGTTGGAGTCCAAGCTCCAAATCTGGGTGCAGGGGACCTCTTTGCTGTGGAAAGTTCACTGCAGTCACGAGAGCTGGTGGCTGGTGCTGTTATTGGAGAAGTTTGGGGCCGGCTGGGGCCGCGTGAAGATCGCAGGGCTGCGGGGAGCCAGCGCTGTCCCCTGGCACACACGCTGGGCACCACGGGGACAGCGTCCAGCCGAGAGCCCTGCTGGTAAAAACAGGCTGGCTTGGTGCCCCAGGGCAGGTCCTGGCAGGTGCTCTGCCAGGTCCTCTGGTGATGCTCATCACCACATCCCGGGTGGCAGGGCCGTGGTTCTCCTGTCACTGAGGCGTCAGTCCTGGTGCCCATCCTGGGGCTGCGACAGATGGCAAAACTCGCCTGGGTGAAGAGCTCTGTGGAGCTGGGAGGGATTCAGGCTTGGACACCTTCCAGCATCCATTATCTCCTCAGCCACTGAAGCCACTCAGCTGTCGCCCTGGTGTCTCGTAAGGAGGTGATAAATCGCTGGTGCTTTTCCTTTGTCCCGGTGTGTCCTCGCTGGTTGTTGGTGCTGGAAGCCCGGCTGGGTCAGGGCTGGGAGTGGGACCCCTTCTGGGAATCCCCCATGGTGTCAATCCTCGGGATGCTTTGCAAACCCGTGACTCCATAATTCCTCCAAACTGTGGGGGATTAATCTTCATCAGCCCCGGTGTTTGGGCTGTCTGTGAAACGGGTGTCACACGGAAACGTGTCCCTTGTCAAACCCTCTCTGTTCTCGCTGCCCTCGTGGCTCCTCGTGAATGGAGGAGCCAAACTGAGCTGCCACTGTCAGGTCTCCCTTATATTTAGAAATGAATGTGGGCAGCGTTACTGCCTCACATACAGTTTAAATGGCAAACAGATCGAGTTTCCCTGAGCTGGTGTCAGTGAGGCTGCAGGGAGGGCTCTGGCACGAGGTGTCCCTGCAGGAGCTCGGCGCGGTGGCCACAGGGCTCTGCTCCCTCCGGGGCAACCCCTGGCTTGGGGTTCGGGGCAGATCTGGGGTGAAGCAGTGTGGGGGTGCTCCCAGGGCTGCTGGGGGGCAAACATCTCCCCAGCATTCACATTGTGCCATCAAAATGAGGACAAAACCCGACAAATAACCAAACTTCCATCAGTGGGAGCTCCCTTGAGAGGGTTTGTTGTGGGAGCCCCAGCAGGTGTGAACTCTGCAATAGGTGAGTTACAGCACCTGATCTGCTCCTGCTCCTTTGCCAGGGGCCAGAAGGGCTGGGAGTGGGGCTCCTTTGCAGCCCCTCCCTGCTGGGATGTACCATCCCTGAGGCTGTTCTGGAAGTCTCTCCGTGATAATCACACTGAGGTGATGAGGTGCTTCCCCAGGCTGTTCCCCTCACCCTGGAGGAATTTATGAGAGACATCAGACGAGGGATCGGCAGCAGAAAGCAGCTCCAGGGTTAATGCTGGCTGGGCTGTGGGTGCTTTTGCAGCCCCTGGTTCCACCTTGGCCCCAGTTCCTGTGGAGTTGTGTCCTTGTGGAGGCTGGGCTGGCGCTGGCTGCGGCATCGCTGCCTGGGGAGACAGATGCTGCAGCTGCAGCCCACGGCAGCAACTTCTTGCAGACTCATCAATTTGAAGGTCAAGGGGAGCTGATTAACTGCTCTGAGCCTTTTCATGGGACTGACTGAGGAATTTCACCTCGTGTTCCATGATCCTGCCTAGGAGCTGCTGGGTGAGCCTTTGCAAAGACACAGGGTCTGGAGTTGTTTGTTCTACTTTGGTTAAAAAGTTTTGGTTTTTTTAAAAATGATGGAACTTCTAGGGGATTTGTTGATTTTTTTTTTTACTATGCCACACTTATCTTGACTCCATTAAAATTCTCTCCTTGTAAAGGCAGTGCTGTAGGAAGTTTCCTGGGCGTTGAGTCAGGAGGATGGAGGTCATTTGTGTGATTGCTGAGACACACATGATCTTTGTGTGAATATGCATTTCTTATGTGTTTACTTTTCCAAGCACCTCTTGATGGTTTTTTTAATTAAAATAAACCCTTTGCCTTGAGGGAACGCTGAACTCTATTCATGGCATTCTTTTAAGTAGGTTAAAAATCTCCCAGTGCTTACATGGGGCTTTAAAATTCAGAAGTGCATTATTTGTATCTGTGAAAAGGCAAAAATCCCCTGAGCTGAGCCTGTGGGAGCTGCTGTGTCACCCTGGGGACAATGGGAGCCCTGTGCTGCTCCCCAGGGACACTTGGCACTGGTGGGACCCACAGCCAGGGACCCTCCCAGGGGCTCCCCTGGGTTCTGCTGGGAGCAGGGACCTGGCTGAGTTTCCAGGATGGAGTTGGCAAAGAGCGTTGGTGGAGCAGTGTCCAGGCAGGAGAGATCAGCACATGGGGCACTTCCATGCCCGGCTTTTCCATGGCCTTGGCTTGGTGCTCCTGGCCTTGGCTTGGAGCTCCTGGCCTTGACTTGGTGCTACTGCCCTCAGTTTGGTGCTCCTGGCCTTGGTTTGGTGTTTCTGGCCTTGGCTTGGTGCTCCTGGCCCCAGCTCAGATCTGTTGCTGTCTGGGACTCAGTGCTAGGCCTGAGCCCACTTCCCACTGGCCTGGAGGTGACTGCAGGTGGCTCTGGAGGTGGCTCTGCAGGTGACTGTGCAGGTGTCTCTGCAGGTGACCACAGGTGGCTGTGGCTGTAATTGCCAGCCAGGGGCAGGTGGGGAGGTGGCTGCAGGATGATGGTGCTGGACATTGTGTGGAGGAAGGTCCCTGTCTGCCTGTGCCTGGCTGTCACTGCTGTCACCGAGCACCTGGGGCTGCTGTGCCCGCTGTCCTGGCACTCTCCATCCGCGCTCCCCTGTCCTTGCTCGGGATGGAGGATTCCCTGTTCCTTCTCTCATCCCGTGCTAGTGAGTTTGGCCTGTCCTGGGTGATGAGCCCCACACCCCTGCAGACCTGTCCTGAGCTGGGAACAGCGAATAAAATGGGCTGGGATGGTCTCCCCACACAGCTGAGCTGGCACAAGCTGGAATTGTCTTCAGTTTCCTTCAGTTACTGCTTTTTTGTCTTCCTCCACAGACCCCAAGACAGCCACAGAGACAGACACAGAGATCTGTGCAGAGTGGGAGATCAAGACCATTACTAGTGCACTGAAAACGTACCTGAGGTAAGGAGAAAAGCCTCACCTGGCTTCAGGAGGGGCGTTGCCTGTTATTGCAGATCATTAACAGCAGCACTTTTATGGAGGCAGAGCAGAAACTGCTCTTAGGGAATTTATTCTGGCTTTTCCCTGATTTTTCCAGTATGTTTGAGAAGGATCTGGGGAACACACTCAGCTCTGGCAGATGCATGTACTATACAAACATGATTTTAAAAGCTCATTCTTGCATCCCCTGCCTTGATTTAAGCTTTTCCCTGAGCTTTTCCCGGTGGACTTCCACCTTCTGGGCATGTGGCAGAGGGGGAGGGCAGTGCTGTGTAAGGGCAGGGGCTGTAGAGCTTTTCCAGCTTTGCTGTAGTTAGGATTTCTGTGCATCAGGCGAGCCAGTATCATCCTGGGGATCTTCCCAACAGGATTGGGTGTTGGCAACCAGCAGCATCTCATTATCCACAACGTGCTTCTACCTGTTGTGACCGCAGCTCCTTGCTCTCAGTGACTGTTGTGTGCTGGGTTGTGTTTGAGAGAGAGCACAAGAGAGAGCCTAAATCCAATTAGGGTGATAAGTGTAATTAGCCTGGTGGATCCCAGCCTAGAAAATCACAGAATTTTGCATGATTGGCAACCTTTGCTCCGGAGTCTGAACTGTTGGCAAAGCAAAGAGGAATGTGGGCAGCACCAGTGTGCTCCTCTGAAGGGATGCAGCAGTGGGAGGGGGGATTGGGAAAGTTTTACAGCTAGGCTTGTTTATCTTTTAAATTTATTTTCAAACTTGGAAATCATGGCCTCAGTAATGCACTGAAGCTGTGTTACTGGAGGAAAGCTAAAATGAAAGATTAATTTAGTGGTGAATAAATCGAAGGTCCTTGCATAGATCTTACTCCTTCTGATGGGGAGAACTAATTAGAGCTGGTGTTGCTTAGTTCTGGCCTTTTCAAAATGGAGCTGAGTGTATTGTAGGGGCAAAGCTTTCTTGGTGTGGATTGTGTTCCTCAGATGTGTTTTGTGCCTGTTTCCTTTTTATCTTGCAGAATGCTCCCAGGGCCCCTCATGATGTACCAGTTTCAAAGGAGCTTCATCAAAGCAGCGAGTGAGTTTGTTGATGTTTGTGGCCCCGCTCCCGAAGAGGAGCCTCGCTTGCCAGTGGCTGCCATCCCCCTGCCACACTCCTGGGCTGTGTCCTGGCCCAGGGCAGGGCTGGAGTGGGGCAGGGAGTGCCCAGAGGAGGAGGAGGAAGCGCAGGCACTGCCGGGAGCTGGCGCTGGGACCGTCGGCTGTTGTTAAACTGCACCGCGGTGTTTGGGGGGCTCTCTGCTGCTTCAGAGGTCTGGGCCACCTTTCCTTCAGTGCCCAGGGGAAGGGGCTTTGCTGGGGGATGTTCTGCTGGCAGCCTGTGGGATGTCAGGAGGGCCCCGTGGTCCGTGGCCTCCTCCAGCAGCTCCCACTTAGCACCATGGGCCCAGCAGATGCTCCAGCCTGGCCTGTGCTGGACACACTCAACATGGAATGTACCCGAGTTCCCGTTGCTGGAATTGCCCTGCTTGCAGGCAGCCCTGCCCTGCTCACCGTGCTGCTCACGTGGCATCCCCCAGCTCCCCGTTTCAGCCCCTTCAGTCTTCCCTTGGAAACTGCTGGATGGATTTGATGGGAAGGAGCAGCACCGTGGGGAGTGTCTGCAGTGCCTGGGTGTGGGATGGAGCAGCTCCCTGGGATGTCTGTCAGGGACTGTATTAGGCCTCTTCCCATACCAGCCCCCTAATGTGGAGATAAATCATCTCCTGTTTCCCATGCAGAACTAGAGAATCAGGAGTCCAGGGTGTCGGAGATTCACAGCCTCGTTCATCGGCTCCCGGAGAAAAACAGGCAGATGCTGCACTTGCTCATGAACCACTTGGCAAAGTAAGTTTATGACTGATGTGTTTTTCTCTCCTTTTTCCATTTCCTCTGAAAGTTAATAGTGGTGGAAAAGTTTCCTTGTGTGTGTGTGGTGCTGAGTCATATCTGGTTGGCAACTGGAAACCCTCGTGTGAGGGAACCGAGGGCCGAGAGACCCAGTGGGGTGGGAGGGGGAGAGGGAGGGAGGGATGAGGGGCAGGAGATCCCAGATCCAGGAGATCCCAGATCCAGGAGATCCCAGATCCAGGAGATCCCAGCCAGCCCCAGCCCTGGGGCAGCACCAGGAACCCATTCCCTCCTGGGAACCTCGTGTTGCTTTCATGGCCTGGGATGGGTTTGGCTGCCCAGGAGGCAGAGCAGAGGTGAAGCTCCTCACGTGCTTTCAGAGCAAACCTCTCACTGAAGGACTAAAAGTGATTTCTTTACACAACAATTGATGACTCTGGGGCATCATATTTTCTGTCTTTCTGCACCCTGATGAATCAATATTTTTGTGTTACCTTGAAACTTTGTGAGGGCGAAGGAACGGGATTTTTTTTTTCCATTGGGTGGTAGAGCTGACCTGTAATTTCCCTTCTTCTTCCTGCTCCTGCAGGTTCCCATGGAAACCTTTGATTAGTGTTTTAGGAGTGAAAGCATCATCAGGTGTTTGTGGCAGCCTCAAGGCTGCAGGGTTGGACCTGCAGGAGCAGCAGGGCTGAGGCAGGATTGGGAAACCTGGGGAATGAAAAATTGGGATGACTGCTTAGGAGGAGATCTGGAAGAATCCAAGTTATCTGTTTAAAAGAAAAAAATAACAAATGTAATTTAAATAGGCTTAAACACAACTCCAGATGCTTTCTTGTGGCCTGGGCTCGTGTCTGCTTCATGGGGTCCCTGGCAAAGGCTGTTGAAAACCAAATTGCTGGTTTAGGTGTTGGTTTCAAACCTTCTGCATTTACAGCCTGAAGCCAAGGCCCAGTGGTTCCAGGTGCTCCCATCAGCCAGATGGGATTGCCCAGAGCAGCTGGGGCTGCCTCTGGATCCCTGGAAGTGTCTGAGGCCAGGCTGGACGGGGCTTGGAGCAATCTGGGCCAGTGGAAGGTGCCCCTGCCCATGGCAAAGAGTGGAACTGGGTGAGCTTTAAGGTCCCTTCCCAGCCAAGCTATTCTGGGATGCTGTGATTTTGTATGTGCAGGGAATCTGTAATTGCTTCAGTGTTTTCCATCTAAAGGAAAAACCTGGTGATGGAGTAGAGATGTGGAGTCAGGTCTACAGTGGGGTTTGTGCTGCTTTAGTGGGGAAGGAATTCAAACAAAACAAACAGTGTGTGTGGTGGTGTGTGCTATTTTAGGAAGAGAAACAGCTCATAGTGTTATTTAATAGGAAAAAAATTATCTCACAGAAGGGCAGGAAGCTGAGGAGTGAGAGCCTGCTGAGCTCCCCAGCCCTGGTGCCATTCCTGGAGGATCCTGGGCTGTGGAGGCACAGCCAGCCCCAGGCATGAGCTCTCAGCATCCCTCTGGGGCTGCTCCTGCAGCCCCTGCCCTGATCCAGGAGCCCTGATCCAGGAGTGCCCATGGGGCAGCCAGGGCCAGGGCTCGTTGCCATTACTCTCTAAAAGAGCTGCTTGAGGCTGCAGTGCCATTGAGCCAGATTAAAGACAAGAATGGAGAGAAATCTTCACATCTGCAGCAGATGTTTGGAGGGGGGGCTGCTCCAGATGTGTGGGACCAGCCAGGTGTGGGTGCTGCTGACAGCAGGGCACCCACAGCCAACGTGGGCAAAGCCGAGGGCCTCTGGCTGCCCCTGCCAAGCTGGGCTGCACTGCTTGGAGGGCTTTGTCTCATCTGTTTCTGTCTGGGCTTTTTATTTTAAGTAACATATGAATAATCAAGATTTGCATGTTTATCAGATGAGCTAAAAAAGTATTTCTCACAGTCTTGCTGCGGAGATTTCTGACACTAAAACCAGAACTTGGGCTGAGTCGGTCAAGTAAAGAAAGAGGCTGTCTTGGGTGGTTTCTGACTTCTGTGTTTTAGGGGTGTACGTGCTCTGCTGCACTGATGAGGGATGTGGGGCTCCTCATGTGATGAAGCTGCAGTTTTTATTAACAGTAATAAAACTGGTAAGAAAGACGAAATGTTCAAAAACGGCAATTATTAACCCCAGTATCAGACAGGATAAGAGCCTTGGAGGTGGTTCAGCTTCCCCATCAGGTGGGTCCCATGGCAGCTGGGGACCACAGAACTGGGGTGCAGTGAGAGGGGCCCACAGAGGAGGGAGAGGACAAATCTCAGGAACAGGCACGGACAGGGTTGAGGGTGAGGAGCGTTTTGATATAAAATTTTGATTTCTGCCTCTTACTGCATCCCCAAGCCCGTTTGTGCTGCCTTCAGCCTCATGTCCATATGTCCAGGCAGTTCTTCACTATGGCAGGAGTGGTTCCCACCCCTGCTCCTTTTAGCCTTCCAGCCTGAACCAGTCTGGGATTCTGTGATTAAACCAATTTGTTTTAATGCCAAATAAGTCAAAGTAGAACAAGGTGCCTGTGGTGCTGCCAGGGTGGCTGTGCCAGGGGTGCTGCTGGAGTGAAGCTGGTTGCAGAAAATTGCCATTTTTATTAGCGGAGCTGCAATATCATCCCTGTCTCCTTCTTCTTTTGTAATGTACTTTCTCACCCAGGAGTCAATGCTGTGGAGGTGCAGAGTAGGGGGGATTTCACTCTGATTGTATTTCAAGCATTTAGGGAATTATTTTTCATGCAGGGCCATAATTTGACACCTGAGCTTTGCTTTGCTCTTGTGGCAGCGAGTCCAGGTTCTCCAGCACAGACAGGTGCCAGGCTCATACCCCTTCAGTGTGATTCCCAGACCCTTCCGTGGGCTGGCATCGCTGCCACTGCCCCCACAGCCCCAGATCCACACACCCACTCCTCTTGTGCCAAAGTCAGGACCATGGAGGAGGCTGCAGCCGAGCTGTGCCTACGTGTATTTAGCAGAATTAATTATCTCTAATCACTCCCAGCCGTGGCCTGGCCAACACTGGCTGGTTCCCTTTGGTTTTGCTGTGGTGGTGTTCTCTAGTTTACGTGTTTTAACCAAGATGACAGTGATTGTTATCTCCTGCACAAACTGTTTGCTGTTTATCAGGGTGATGGTTTCCATGGGCTCTGCAGTGCAGCTGCTGCTGGGGATCCAGCAAAGGCCACCACGGGCCAGGGGCTGGACACGGAGCCTGGCACGTTCCCCAGGGCTCGCTGCTCAACCAGGGATTGCTGGCAAAGGAGAAGAAGAAAAAATTCCTCCAGGTCTTCTGCCTAAAAATACAAGCAGGGCTTGTTTTTGTCGGCGTGGGGCGGCTCCGGGCGGCGCTCGGGGCCGCGCTGCGCTGCCGAGCCCTGCGGGAGCTGCTCCGGTGCTCACCACGGCACCGCCGTGCCCAGCAGCCCCAGGAGCCCCTGGGCACCTCTGCAGGACCAGGGCTGGCAGCTCCCCCGGGAGCCTGCTTTTCCTGGCCTTCTTCTGCCTGTTTCCCCCGAAGGTGCAGCCGGCAAGGAGGCTGCCGCCTCTTGGCACAGCAGGTCTGATTTCATCCCCGTGGCAGCTGTTTATGCTGCTGTCTGGTAACTATTCATTTGCTTGATTTATGTATTGCTTCCAGTAAGTCGTTCTTGTCCAGGACATTCTGGAAATTTCCACTAGCCACTGAGGCCTCTGGGATGCTCTGCTCTCGTGTGCTGCTCGCCTGATTTGGCTGCCAGAGGCAAACGGGAGCTGTCTGTGGGCCGGTGGCTCTCCTTGCTGTCCTTGGGAATGCCATTTTTATGCCCAGTGCCTGCTTCTGCTCCTTTTGGGTCGTGGCAGTGCTGGATCCAGGCAAAGCCCTGGGCTTCAAGTGACCCAAAGGATCTGGGTGCTTGTGAGGTTGGTGAAAGGGAGGTGACATGGAAGGAGTTTCTCTGTAGGCACGTGCTGCCTTGCAGGAGCTGGGAGAACCCTGCCTGGGGCTTGGCTCTCCTGGGTCAGGCTCATGCTGTGCTCTTCTACCCCTTCTGCATTTTCCCTAGTTGGAATGAGTTGGGCTTTAAGGTCCTTCCAACCCAAGCCATTGTGTTGTTCCATGGTTCTATGATTTGTGCTCTGGAGCTGGAGGGAGCAGAGCCTTGTGGGGAGCAGCAGCACCTTTGGCTTCCCCTTTGCTCTGCTCTCCCTCACGTGTTTGGTGTTTGAGGAGCCAGTGATGCTTCCACAGAGGTGAGACAGCCCTGCAGCACTCTGTGCCTGCCCTTGCCAGCTCTGCCTCCCTCTCACTCCTCTGCTTTTGTTTTTAATATGAGATTCTGAAGAATTACAAACCACCACGAAAAGCCCTGTAGGTGTTCACTGGGTTTTTTGGGCTTGGCTTCCTGTAATGTGTAAATTAGCAAGAGGTTTTGTTCTGCTTCTGCAAATGAACTTTTAACCCCCCCTGTCTGGATTGTCCCTGGAGCAGCTGTGTGGGTGCTGGTGGCTTTTCCTTCCATGCTTCTCTGAAAGGTCCTTCTCTCTCGTGCAGGCTCTCCAGTTTTTAGCTGGAGGGGAATGTGCCCAGAGCCTGCAGTCCCTTGTTAGGTTCTCTTGCACCCACATCCTGCACAAGACTGGAGTCTGGAGACAGGATGATGGGGGTCTTGGACTAAAGCTGGCATCACCAGCCTGGCATGGTGACTTAGCAGCTTGTAACACAGCAGCTGCTGTGTTTGCTGAGGAGTTTCTGTGGTTGAACATCTCTGCAGAGCTCCTCCTGCATCTCCAGGAGCAGCACCAGGCATTTTGCATTCCTCAAGTGAGAATTCTTGTGGGCTTGTGTCTGAACTTGGTGTTGTTGGGTAGAGGTTGTTGATAGCACATAATTACCTGGATTCTTTTTAATTGTTTATCACAGTGAAACTGAAACTGGGTATGGAAAGAGATTGAATCGAGAGTGAGCAAAAGATTTCCAATAACTGGTCAGAGTCTCCCTGGTGGTGTCTGCACCGTCCC